GGTCTGGCTTACCTCACTCAGGATAGTGTTTTCTATTTCCATCCTAATATGGAAAATTCAAGAAGCCCTTGTTTTTTACTGCTGAGTAGTACTCTAATATGTATATATTCCATACTTTCCTCATCCATTCTTCCATTGAAGGGCATCTAGGTTGTTTCCAGGTTCTGGCTATTACAAACAATGCTGCTATGAACATCGTAGAGCATATACTTTTGTTGTATGATAAGGCCTCTCTTGGGTATATTCCCAAGAGTGGTATTGCTGGGTCCAGGGGTAAGTTGATCCCGAATTTCCTGAGAAACCGCCACACTGCTTTCCAAAGTGGTTGCACAAGTTTGCATTCCCACCAGCAATGGATGAGTGTACCCCTTTCTCCACAACCTCTCCAGCAAAGTCTATCATTGGTGTTTTTTATTTTAGCCATTCTGACAGGTGTAAGATGGTATCTTAAAGTTGTCTTGATTTGCATTTCCCTGATCGCTAAGGAAGTTGAGCATGACCTTAAGTGTCTTTTGGCCATTTGAACCTCTTCGAAACAGGAAGATTTAAAGTTCAAGTACAGCCTCAACTATGTGGCAAGTTCTAGGCTAGCCTGGGCTACGTAAGACCCTGTCTTTGAAAAATAAAGAATGAATACAGGGCTTCCTCAGCCTTCGGACACCCCAAATCACCACTATACGCACTTCACCTCTTTCCATGCACATGGTGCACAGAACAGACTTGGCTCGCCAGCCCTATTTCCCTGTCATTTACTTTGTATTTCACTCATAGCCTTCAGACTTGTGATCTTTGGTTTCCAATACTGTATTTAAAAACCTAAGCACTTGCTTTGAGATAAGACCTGCATTTTTTCTAGAGGATTTTAATATAGTATTCTTCTGGATCCAAGATGGCCCCTGCGCAGGCCCCTGTCACTTCCAGGGCCTCACTTCATCCGGCTGCAATACTGAATGTGGACCCAGTTAGGTGTTGTGGACTCTAACGTGGTGTCTTCACTTTTCACTAGGCGACTTCCCTGGTCTAATGTGACCATGGTCTCTGTCCATTCACAGTGACAATGACTGCTGTTCATTTGTCTTCACGTGGTCCTCCATCCCCTAACTACTATAGCATTTCATCTCTCATCCTCCCCTGGAACGAGTCTTCCTTTGTCCCACCAGCTCCCAAATAATAACATGGAAACTTATTAATTATGAAAGTTCAGCCTATAGCTTAGACTTATTCCTAACTAGCTCTTGTAAGGTAAATTGATCCTTTTATTTTAATTTACATTCCGCTGCATGGTCATTACCTCATCCCTCTGTACTGCTGATTCTGCTTCCTCTGAGTCTGTCAGCTCCACCTTCTTCCCAGAGTTCTCTCTCTACCCGGAAGCCCCACCTATACCTCCTGCCTAGCTATTAGCCATTCAGCTTTTTATTACACCAATCACAGTCATACATTTTCACACAGTGTACAAATATTCCATAACCCCCACCTTTGTGCCCCCTCTCCTTCTTTCTGTACATTGCTTAACTATCTTGTTCTAGGGGATCCTTTGCACTTTTTTCCTAAACAATATATATTTGTCTTCCCATGGCTCAAAGCCTAGGAATGTAGTAGGTATACAACTCAGCCCTTCTCGATGCTTTCATATACCTGCTTCTTTATAAACAAACAAACAAACCATTGCCACTGCCACTAACAATAACAAAAATATAGTGCCAGGGGCTGGAGAGCCTATTAAGAGAGCAAAGGGCTTTATCTTTCAAATGTGAAAAAACTATGCTCATTTCTAGAACCAGATAAAAACGAAAACAAACAAACAAACAGGCACAGTGGCATATGCTTTTCGGCCCAGTGCTGGTGGGTGGAAGTAGGTGCTTCTCTAAGGCTTGCTGGCTAGTTCGCCTACCTGGACTGATTTACTTAGTGACCTCCAAGGCCAGTGGGAGACTCTACCTTAAAATAAAATGGATGGTGTTCCTGTGATACTTGAAATATCCTGAGGTTGTCTTCTTGATCTCTACATGAATTTGATTATATACACATACATGCATGCACACCTGTATACACATACACACACACACACACACACACACACACACACACCTCTCCTTAAAAGAACTTATGAAGTTCTTTGTTTTTCATAGTTGTTTGTTTTATCTCTATACATATTACCTTCCAATCTTCTAACTCTCACTCAAGAGTTTAACATCTGGGTCATTATCTTCATCTTCCCATTTCAGTCCACACATGGGAACGTCAACATAGCATTGTTAATTAGATTTCCGTTGTTACCTCTTTACTTTCCATGAACACTTTTTCTAATGTCTTCTCCCAGACTTAATTTACTACTGATTATATTACCAATTGACGTCAACCTATACATGTCTTCAAAGGTGAATTCTAGATATTGCTATGTGGGTATTTCATGGAACATCAACATCAAAACATGAATTCATGATCTTCTTACCAACTTTATTGTATTCCTGTTATGAATTTTTTGTCATATAGAATCAAAGCCGACCCAGACATACAAACCAAAGTTTGGGAGATTATTCCAGATTATCTCTTGGTGGTCACATTCCCTCAGTAATAGCTTCCTACCCTATACCTGTTGTCCATGAGTTCAGAGCTTCTCTGGTCCTGCCTCTGTAGAGAGTAAAGCCAGTAGTACTAGGGAAAAAATTCCCGGGTTAAATCACAGATTCCAATCCATAGCAGGTAGTTATCTGTAAGTTTCTTAAGTTTGTTGTGCCTTGTCTTTCTCATCTCTCAGATGTCATATAATATTGCTTACTTCTATAGCCACTAGGACAATCAATTGAGTTATGTTTGCTGGTTAGATTTTTGTCAACTTGATACCAAGCAGAGTCACCTGGGAGAAAGGAACCTCCGTTAAGGAATTGCCTCCATCAAATTCTCTTGTGGGTGTAGGTCTGTGAGAGCATTTTCTTGATTGCTGGCTGATGTAAGAGGGCCCAGCCTACTGTGGGTAGTGCCATCCCTGGGCAATTATTTCAGAACAGTAGCTGAGTGAGTCATAGGAACAAGCCAGCACTCCTATGGTCTCTGCTTCAGTTCCCGCCTTGACTTCCCTTGATGATGGACTAAACTGTAACCCAAATAAGCTGAATCCTAGCCCTGATTGATTCTAGTCATGGAGTTTACCACAGCAACAGGAAAGTAACTGGGCAATATGTGTGACCCTGAGAACATTGTAAATACTTCACAGCTTTTAGCGGTGTGGATGATGTAAATACATGTGCCAGCAGGGACAAACATCTGTAGGAAAGAAATATGAAGAATAGTTACTTTGGTTTTGTTTTGAGACAGGGTCTCTCTATTATATAGCGCTGGCTCTCCTAGAATCACTGTATAGACCAGGTTGGCCGTGGCTCACAGAGCTCCACTGGGCTCTACCTCCCAAGTGCTGGGATTAAAGGTGTGTGCTACCATGCCTGGCTTGGACATCCACTTCTTAACTAGACCCTCAACCAGTCCTTTTTTATTCAGCTGCACACCACACCCTGGCCTTCGAAGATAACCCGTGCTTCTAATTACTAGAATTTATAGGTTCTTGGGAGCAAATTAGTTTGCTTCATATAGGCTTTCCTTTTGTAGCAATTAACTTTTTGTGCTGTACACCTTCACTATCCAGATGGTAGGTGGCTAGTGGGTCCTTAAAATGTGACTGGCTAGTGCTACTCAATCTGAAACAATATTTTGTATATATCAGTTTAAATAAGACTTACTTAAATTAATTTCACATATTTATTTTAAGTCATTTAATATGGCTAATAGGAATTCTGAATTGTGTTTCAACTGGATGGTGTTGTGTACCTTACACAGTTTTGACCCTTCTCATCCTGTTTTCTAGCATTCTCTTTAGTCTTGAAGGCTTATCCCCCTTTTCATTTTGGGACACATCTAGGGGAAAACAAAGATAAATGCACGTGTTACATCCTCCATGTTTAACTGGAAGCTCTCCCTGTACTTTCCAGGACCTATTTCTGAGATCTAGAGTCTCAACACTTTATGACTGCACATCCAGCTAAAATAAGCTACTGATAGTTCTCTGAACACGGCCGGAAGCTTGAGGCAGGAGCTTCCTGCCGAAATTTTCTTTGCTTGCTTTTCCTGGAATGCACCCCTAATCCCTCTCAACTGTCTGCCTATTTAATAAAGAGTTCAAATTTTACCCCAGCAGAGCCTTTCCTGGCTCCTCTTTGCAGCTGAGCTGACTATGGAGTCCATAATTTGCTTAGATGCCTACCTGTTTCCCAGTGGAACCCATTTGCTTCTGAAGTGATGCTAACTTCAGAGTTTAATGTGTATCTTAAAACTAAAAGAACATTGGCTAAAGGAATAGAGACAGTTGGCATAGAGCCAAGGTTTTGTGACATGAAGAGGCTGGCTAAGTTTCATAAGGACAGTTGTTCTAAGCTGTTTCTTCTGATGAGTTTTTGACAGGTGAGGATGACATCAGGTATCTTCCAGGAATAGGAAACAGGATGAACAAAAGTCCCCTCTAAACAAGAAAATTGGTAGCAAATGTGTCCTTTAGTTTCCAAAGTGTTGGTAAGACTAGATCATACAGGCCCTTAAGGTCAGATAAAGAAATATGATGTCGTTCTTAAGGTCATGGTAGGTTCTGTAAGGCTTTGAGCTATGGTGAGAGCTCAGTAGTCCGTTTTGGTTTTATTGCCTTTGGTTGTAGATGAGTTGTGGATATGCATGAATGGAAGCTGGGAAAGAGAGTTCCTCCTGCAAATGAGGCAAGGGTTTAGAGGTGAACAGGGATAGAAAGGAACGCAAAATCGCTAGAGGTCTAGACTCTGGGATGGCCGTGCCTTGGTGACAGCTGGACGCAGAGCGAACTGAAGGACATTAGGGTAGCTTACGGTTGCCACGCACCACACCGCCCTAGGGTACACGGCGTAGGCGTAGCGGAGGGTCTTGTCCCTCGCGCGCCGCCGTCTGCGCAGCCCGCGGGTCAGTCGTGAACCGGCTTGCGCGCTGCGGTTCCGGTTCCGGTTTCAACTTCTGGGCCCAGCGGTACGCAGCCATGGCGTACTCCACGGTGCAGAGAGTGGCGCTGGCCTCGGGTCTCGTCCTAGCCGTATCGCTGCTGCTGCCCAAGGCTTTCTTGTCCCGCGGGAAGCGCCCGGAGCCGCCGGCGGATCCCGAAGGTGAGCGCCGGGGATGCTCGCGGGCGGTCTCGGCCTCCCAGGCCCACACCATTCCCCTCAGTGGCTGGCTGTCGTCTCGTCTCCCGTGCCTGAACAGAGTCAGTAGGAATCTTAGTTGGTAGTGGAGTTTCACCTTTGTTTTGGGTGCTCACTGGTTCAGCCGTTTGCTGCCTCTCATAGTACGACCTGATCTGGTGTTGGTGGTCCGCACCTGTGATGCTGCCTTTCCAGAGGGCCACTGTAAGTTCAAGGCCAGCCTAGCCTGCTTAATGAATTCCAGGCCAGCAGGGCTACATAGTAAGACCTCGTCTCAAAACAACAAAAACATCAAAAATTTTGTTCAATAATTTAAACCATGTTTTGTTCCTAAGGTAGAGATAAGCAAGTTACTCTACTCCTCATGCCTGTTAATTCTCGTGGGTTTTTGGTTTTGTTTTGTTTTGTTTTGTTTGGCATGAGTGTGATGCTTCAAAATCAGCCCCCTTGACTACTACATTCTGGAAGTTTTACAGAATCTGTAAATGCATGGTCCTGAATGCTGGGAGAAGGGACTGGAACAATTCGCTATTGTTGGCCAAGTTCTGCTGGTAACTTTGTCTTGTGAATAATCCTGTACTGCCATCCTTGAGCCTTGGGAACTGTCTGTGAACGGTCCCTCTGATTTCAGCTTGTTGAATGCTGGACAGCTCCCTTTGAACCGTAATCCTCTTTGAAAATGTGCATATTGGCCGTCCTTCCATCCTCCGGAGCATTAGAGATTAAAAATACTACGAATGCAAAGCACCATGCTCCAGGGGCTGAAGGCAGGTTGAGCACATTATTCTGCCTGCAGAATGTGTTTGATGAGCTGTGCTTGTAAAGCTGCCGTTCCCCCTCCTTTTCTGTCATTACAAAATTCAAAACGTTTTGCTCATTTTTTTTTCCTATTGACGTTTTTTGTCTTGAAGAGTGACGATCTTCAAGATCATCTTTAAACTCTGTGATAATCCTGAACCGTGGAGAGTTGTAAAACCCCCTTTCCCCAGCTGAACTAGCTTAAAGAAGTACTATGGAATGTGAGTGGAAGATACTTCTACTTATCAGTGTGTGGGGTATAGAGTTCATTGTAGATATGACTGCCTTCCTTAAAAACCCAGGTACTGAGATCAGTGTTCCCATCTTGACATTTTTGCCCTTTCTATTTTCTTCATTCCTAAAATGCTCTTCTCTTGCTTCCTTCTCATCATTTAAGTGTCTGCTGAGATGTATCCTCTGTAGACTTTGCCTGATGACCCCAGGTAAAGAAAAGCTTCCCTGAGGACCACTTTAAAGGCAATCTTGACCAACAGTTTTGATACATCCTATCATATGTCGTGCACACAATGTGCGGATGTTCACCTCATTCCAAGGAACACGAGTTAAATCCCTGCTCAGGGAACTCCTGGTTTAGTAGGTCTAGTAGACGAAGACAGATGAGTGTCAGTTGCTGGTATTCATCTGGTCTACACTGGGGACAGTGGAGATGTGCATAGACAACAGTCTCTTATTAGAACTTAACAAAGGTTTTATGGAGGTGTTTCTTTCTCCCCGCCCCAAGCTCCAATACATGTACCATGCAATTTGTCTTTTTAAGCACATGAGTCAATTTTTTTTGCATATTCACAGTTGTGTAGCCATCACCCCAATAAGTTTTAGAACATTTCTTTGCCCCCACCAAGGTAATCTGTTTTAGCTATCATTCTCTCCTCATTTCCCCATCTGTAGTCAAGTGCAACCAGTCATCTTTTTCTGCCTCTCAAGAATTACCTGTACTCTTCCTAAATGGCTTTCTGGTTTGGTTTGGTTTGGTTTGGTTTTTCGGGACAGGGTTTCACTGTGTATCCTTGGGTGTCCTGGAACATGCTCTGTAGACCAGGCTGGCCTCACTCACAGAGATCTGCCTGCCTCTGCCTCTGAGTGCTGGGATTAAAGGTGTGCACCACCGTCATTTGGCCTGACTGGCTTTTTAAAACTAGCATAATGTTTCAAGGTTCATTTATCTTCTAGTATGTGCTTCGTTTCTTTTAAAGGCTGAATGCTAGTCTGTTGTGTTGATGGGTCACATTTTACTGATCTCTTTGTTAGTTAAGGGCATTTGAGGTTTTTGGCTTTTTGTTTGTTTGTTTGTTTGTTTGTTTGTTGCCATTCAGCTCTTAGGAATAATGCTACCATTTGTTTAAAGATTTCTGTGTGGACTGATGGTGATTGGAATTAAGAGTGTGACTTCCTAGTCTTACAGTTATATTCTACTTTTCGAGATTCTGTCAGTTAGTTAACAAAGCAGCTCTACCACTTTACAGGCCTACTAGCAGCATTCGATGGTTCTGATTCCACTGCATCTTGCAAACCGTAGGGACAAAGTTGAAATGACCGTAGCCATCTTGGGTTGTGACCACCATAATTGCTCTTGAGTAATCCTGTGAACTTCCTTTAGAGTGGTGTGTCAGACTGTATGAGCAGAGCCTAGTGCACTGTGATGTGCCTGCCATTTTTGACTTTAGCTTAAGACAAACATGGTGTGTTCTTGGGTTTGGAGAAACCATGTGTACTGCTGGTGACAAAAGCATCCTTCTTCTGATCCAGATAATGGAAAGTCACCAGTCTTTTTGCTGTCTTGACCATTATACTTCCGTCAGTAAGTCCCAGATAGAGGACACTGTGGTACTGGGTCTATCTACCTTTTTCAGTCTCATGGCACTTTGCAGCTGGTGTCGCATTCATTGCATGCCCTTCTGATTACAGCTGCCCTAATGAGTCGGAAGTGGCATCTCCTTGTGGTTGTATTTGTATCTCTCTGTCTCTCTGGTGGTTGATGACATTGAGGAACTTTGTGTGTGTATGTGTGTGTGTTTGCTTTTTGCATATCTTCTGTAAATAGATAGCTACCAAGTCTTTTATCTTTTAAGAGCCGGGGAGCCCATCATTCTGTGTTGAGTTGTATGTGTTTCTCTGTACTCCATTCACTATTCCATTATCTTCTCCCAGCCAGTGTGTTGTGCTCACTTTATTCAAAAAAGGAAAGCTTTAAATTTTGATGAATTTCAGGTTTTTTTGTTGCTTTTAGTGTCAGATATATCTAAGACAGATAAATCATTTTCTTATCTGACAATATATTCCGATGTTTGCAAGTTCTATTATTTATGCCCCTGAATTTACATCTTTGCGCCTTTGAAATTCTTTTTTGGTGTATGTTAGGAGGAAAGAATTCGACTCCATATGGGGTGTATAGTTGTTTCAGTACCGTTTATTGAAAAGACTGCGCTTTCTCATTGAATTGTTTTTGGCACCCTGTAAAACTCAGTCAGCTATAAACACAGGTTTATACCTACATTTTAATTCAGTAGGCTATACATTGCCCTTTTGAAACTATGAAGTTACAGCCCCCTAGGTTTTTCTTTTGCAAGATTAAGGTATAAGATTTTCTGGGTCTTGTGACCAGCATTTCAGTGTTATTTTATGACCATTTCATTAATTCCTGAAAGAAAACAACAACAACAAAGAGCCAAAAAGTAGCCGGGACTTTGCTAGGTTGTGTTGAGTCAGTTTTCAGAATATTGCTCTCTCTCCAATGCAAAGCTTTCCATCTGTGAACACAGGATTTCTGTCTATCCAGATCTTTTTCTTTCAAAGAACTTTTTTTTCAGTATTAAACCTTTATTTTGTTTAATGTACCCCTATTTTCTTTTAAATGCTATATTGTGAATATTTTGAGATTGTTCCTTGTTAGACGGTACATACATGATGCTGATGTATCAAGCCTGTGTCTTGCCACTTGCTGAACTTGTTTCTTAGCTTTTTGAACATAATCATGTTGTTTTCAAATGAGAGGGTTTTACTTTTCATTCTAATCTTATATCCCCTTTGTTTCTTTTTCTTGCTTAACTAGACTAGCTGGAGTCCCTAGTACTGTGTAGAATAGATGTGATAAAAGTCTCGAAAAACCAAAAAAAAAAAAAAAGCCAATATTCTGTCTTGTTTCTGATCTCAAGAAGAGATTTCTGTACCATTAAATATAGTGTGGTAGGGGTGATGTAGTTTCAGACTGAGGAAATTTCCTTCTGTTCATAGCTTGTTAAATGTTTTTGATCATGGGTTGGATATTAGATTTTACCAAGTGCTTTTTTTCTGTCAAGATGACTATGTGGTTTGCTTTTAATTCCATTGATATGGTATTTACATTAATTGGCTTTTAGATATTAAACCAACCTGGCATTCTTTGGCTGAAATGAAGAGGCAACTCTAAAGTGTGTGTGTGTGTGTGTGTGTGTGTGTGTGTGTGTGGTGTTTCCTTTAAGAAAAACTGTTGAGGACTAGGACCTGACTTGAGGTTCCCCTGAGGCCCTGATGTATGGAGAGAACTATAGCTCCTTCTCTAAACCAGGAATATGCTTGGTAAAACCCATAATAACATGGGGCAGGGCCTTGGGTGAGCTGTGGTTTGGGATCCTGAGAACCCAGCTTGTCTCCCCAAGGGGCTATGGTTGTCTGTCCCAAGGCCCTTAGCTCCCTCACCCACTCTCCATATAATGTAGTTGGAAATGACTGAACACAGGCTACATTAGAAGAGGCTTCTAGAATTGCAAATAGCAGCAGGTATAAAGCAGTCTGCTCCTGAGACAATCATATCCTTTTATTCCTTTTTTAAAATTATGAACTGAGTTTGCTGTTGGTTTTTGGCAGTCTCTCTGCTGACTTTGCTGCAGTGTATGAAACTCCAGGCTGTTTTACTTCCTTTAACAGTTATCTAGATTTGTCCATTTTGTACTGTTCATGTGGCATTTTGGAACCAAATATGGGCTCTTTTGTTTTCTCTGTTGCATTTTTCCTGTCTAAATTTGTCCTGGCACTTCAGTTTCTTGGAATTCTTTACAGGGAATTAATTGTGGAATTCTTGTCTTTATCATTAATCTCATTATATTGATAAATAAAAAACTTGGTTAAAAATGTTTCAAGCACAACAAGCAAAGGCAGAATATGCAGTG